AGCTTCGCGGTGACAGGTGTCACCATCTTGATAATCTTGAACGGTCCGCAAAATCGGGGCCGTAGCTTCGATGGGCCGGGCAGATGCAGGTTCTTCGTGTCGAGGAGCACTAATTGCCCAGTGGTCAAGACGAGTTCCCGGCGTAGGAGGTCGGTGTACTTGCGGGAAGTAATATTCGCTTTGCGAATTGCGTCTGCTGCTTTCTCGCGGATGTGCTGAAGTTCCGTCACAAAAGTTTGTGATCGCGGGACCGGGTTGTCGAGCGAAGTTGCCGTGGGCACCGTCGGATCCATCCCGTAATTCAAGAAGAACGGGGAGTGATTAGTCGTGCTCGATGGTGCGTTGTTGAAGGCAAACTCCAACATGGCGAGGGAATCTTCCCATCGTGCGGGGTCGGGGCAGTTTGTCCGTATCAGCTGCTCCATCGTCTGGTTGGTTCGCTCGGTTTGTCCGTCCGTCTGTGGGTGGTAGGCCGATGAGAACTGTAGCTTCGTGCCGTACTGCGCCCATGTTTCCTTCCAAAACTTGGATGTAAACTTCGGGTCCCGGTCGGTGATGATCGCCGAAGGGATGCCGTGTAGTCGCACGACCGTTGAGATGAAGAGGCGCGCAGTTTCTTCGGCTGTGATCGTCGTTCGGCATGGTGCGAAGTGCGCCATTTTCGTGAAGCGATCGACAACGACGAGGACAGCGTCGTTGCCGGACGGCCCAGCTGGCATCCCCGTGACGAAATCCATCGTCACCTGTTGCCACGGTCGTTCGGGTGGCTCGAGGGGTTGCAGCAGCCCAGCTGGTCGCTGACGTGTCGATTTCATGGCTTGGCACACCCTGCATGAGGACACATAACGCTGCACGTCGTTAGAGGAATCGGGCCAGTAATATTGACGGTGCAGTAATTTCTGGGTTTTATCAACCCCGAAGTGTCCGGAGTAGTTCGAATCGTGGACCTCCTGGATGAGGAGTTCACGCAGCAGCCGGTAAGCGGGGACCCAAATCCTGTCGGTGCCGGCTTTTAGGTAATAATCCCCCTTCTGCGTCGTGGCCTGCTGATGATTTCCTGTCGTGAAGAACGGGTCCGTAGTGTAGCCGTGGGTGAATAGTCCTGTAAGTAGCGGGTTCGAATGGGTGATCAGTACAGCAGCGGATTGTACGGTCGGTCTGGTCAGGGCGTCGGCGATGTTATTCGCCCCTTTCTTGTACGTGATGCGGTAGGTGAAGTGGCTTTCCATGTAATCCAGCCACCGAATTTGTCGCGGGTTGAGGTTCGGTTGAGCTCGCAGGTACTGTAGGGACTTGTGGTCCGTGCGCACAGTGACGTCGGCGCCCACCAGGTAGCATCGCCACAGTTTAAACGCGTGGATTATGGCGAGCATCTCCTTGTCGTGGATCGGGTAGTTGCGCTCGGCAGCTTGCAGCTTGCGTGATTCGTAGGCGATCGGCTGCAGCCCGTTCCCGAAATCCTGGAGAAGCACTGCTCCGATGGCGAAATCAGAGGCGTCGGTTACGACTTCGAACGGCTTCGATGGGTCGGCGATGCGCAGCACAGGAGGGGAAACGAGAAAATTCTTGAGCTCCTGGAAAGCCACCTCTGCTTCCTCCCCCCACACGAAATTCTTGTCCTTGTGCAGCAGGTCGGTCAGCGGGCCGGTTATCCCCGCCATATTCGGGATAAACCGCCGGACATTAGTCGGGGCCTTCCACTCCTGTATGGTTTTAATCTTCGCCGGGTCGATTTTGATGCCGTCGCGGGAGATGACGTGCCCTAAAAACTCCAACTCCTGCTTAAAAAACTCGCACTTAGAGCCCTTGGTGATGAGGCGGTTCTCCTGCAACCGTTTAAATACTGCGTCCAGGTCGCGGAGATGCTGCTCCCGTGTCTTGCTAAAAATCAGGATATCGTCCAAATAGACGATGACACATCGGTCTAGAAGATCGCGAAAAACCCTGTTCATGGTCAGTTGGAATGTCGAAGGCGCGTTCGTGAGGCCGAAAGGCATCACTGTAAATTCGTAACTCCCGTAGCGTGTACGAAACGCGGTCTTGTGACAGTCGTCGGCGAAGACCCGAATCTGGTGGTAACCGCCACGTAAGTCGATTTTCGAGAAGTAGCGAGCGCCGCGAAGTTGATCGAGAAGGTCGTCGGTGCGTGGGATTGGGTAGCGAGATTTGATGGTCACCCGGTTCAACGCGCGATAATCGATGCACATGCGAAGCCCGCCGTCCTTCTTTGGAGTGAACAGAATCGGTGCCGCGAACGGGGAGGTGCTCGGCCGAATGAAGCCTTTCTCCAACAGTGCAACAATTTGTCGGCGTAGTTCCTCGAGTTCCGGCTGGGTCAACCGCCACTGTGTCCGAACAGTAGGTTGCGCGCCAGGTTCCAGCTGGATTTTATGGTCTTCGGGTCTTTCGGGTGGCAGCCCAGGTGGCAAATCGTCCGGGAAAATGTCGGGGTACCGTCGAATTAGCTCCGCTAAATCCGGAGGAACAGCTGCACACAGCTTTTCGATGTCCTTTCCGTCGGTGTCGACTGCCAACTCGCGCAAGCAGACGGCGAACAGCTGCGCACCCCTGTTGAAGTGGTGGGCGATGGTGATGGCTTTGACGCACGGGGCTTGTATGTAGTCAGGTGTCCATGCAGGCAACTTAATTAGCCCCTCGTGCTTGCTGACGCAGCACGATCCCGTTGTCCAGTCGATGACGGGGTTGTGTCGTCGCAGCCAATCGCGTCCCAGCAGCACGTCGCAGCCATCCAGCGTCGTCGCGAGGAACTTCATGCTGAAGCCGAAATCTTCGCCGCACTCGATCCGCACCGTCCGTGTTTCTTCCGTTATCGCCAGAGGCGTCCCATCCACGAGTCGTGCGTCGATTTCGGGCAGACACCTGTCAAGTTGCATGTTGCATTTTTTTGCGCTCGCCAAGTTGAAGAGGCTATGGCTGGCCCCTCCATCGACGAACATTTTCAAATGATGTTTCCCCACCTTGCCAGCGACCAGCACAGGGTGATCCACATGATTATCCCCGTTATTCGGCCGAGTGCGATCGATTGCATGAATCGGAACCACGACTCGGTGGGGATGGTGGTGTTCGGGCGACGGAGCACAGTCAGTAAAGGGCCCGCTACTTACTGACTCTTCCCATTTCCCTGCTCCTTCCTGTCGTTCTCTGTCAGCGGCATTTTCTCCTTGCATTCGTTCTTCCAGTGACCCACCTTCCCACACCGGAAACACTGACCCTTAGGAGGGCGGTCGGGTGTATGGACGGCGTTGATTGTGGCCCGATGGGTCTGGCCACGAAAACCTCTCCCATCCCTGGAAGCTGTTCTCGCGTACTGCATCAGCGCATCCGTTGACTCTGCCACGCGTACTGCTTCGAGGAACGATGTCGGGCGGCTGCGGCGAACTTCGAACTGTATCTCGTACTTAAGGCCGCTCACGTATTTATCCAACCGCTCAGCTTCCGACATGTCATCGATTTGGTCGGCGAAGCCCATAAATGACGCCGTGTAGTCTTGGACAGATCCCATCTGCGACCATGCACGCAGCTTCATGCGAGCTTGCTCCGAGGCGGATACGTGCTCGAAGCGATCCCGTAAGGCTGCGCCCCACTCCTTCCATGTGCGTATCTTGGTCACACCGAAGATCGGTTCTGCAACTTGATTAACCACTGTAGAGGTCCCGTCTGCCGCATGTGTCACACCTGTCGACGTCCCTGTTTCCAAGGTCCGGCGCCACCATTCAAGTGCTGCACCTCGAAGAAGCGAGACTGCGTAATTAATGCGCGTGGCATCGTCATTAACTCCGGCTGCAGTGAAGAAGACTTCAACCCCGAACAGCCACCCCTTCACTGTAGTCGTCTTGTCCGTAGGATTAAACGGGGGCGGGTTGACGGGCTTGATCTTGATCGTCGTAACTGCAACTGGCGCTGCCGCCGCTCGCTGCCTATCTTCTTCTTCGAAGTCGCGTGTGAGCTCGTCCAGAGGATTGCCCATCACTTGACTGTTGCCCTCGCCTTCGTCCACAGGCGACGTCTGACGCGCTTCACCTCGCGTCCGGCGTAGCTCGGCGTTTTCCTCCTTCAGTGTTGTCACTTCCGCTTGCAGCGATTCCATGCCCCTCGCCATTTCTGCCACTTGCGCCATCAGTCGGTTAACAGCCTCCTGATCCATGTTTCTAGCACTACGTCTGGTGGGCAGTTGGGTACCCGTGGCCGCCCGGCAAGTGAAAACACGAACTATCGGAGTCGGGCAGGATTGAATTAACAACCTCTGCAGCCAACCGTCGTGTAGTCACTAAACCAACCACACCCTATGCCACCAAACTACCCTTGAAAAGCGGGGTGAACTAGGAAAGTAGCTCTGATACCAGGTGTTATGAGTTGTAAAAGAGAGTGCGCAGGTAAACGAATAACGAGACTGTGACTGAATGAATCTGAGAATACAATGAATGCGAGAACTAATGTAGGCTAGCCTAGCTAGGAGGAAACCTCGGACAGGCGAGGTTGGGTGCAGGTTTGGCGATGGGAATGCCGAAGGCGACGCGAGGAGCTTCGGCAGCGTGGAAATCGCCCGATCGTGCGAACTCCGAAAATCGGGTTGTACGCGCAGCAGTCAACCCCGATAAGGAATTCGAGAAAATTCCTTACAGCACTATCCCGGCAGGAAAGTACAGGTCGTACATCGGCAATCACCGTCGGTGAGAAATGTGCGCTTGTTTGCCATTCAGATTACGGTTCAGTGTAGTAGACACTGATAACGGTACCAAATAACAAGCCAGCTTGAGGAATACCAAAAAGTAAGCATCCATGATCCGTCTTTATGCCAGTTGGCTAATCAAGTGGGGGAAGCTAATGTAGTCAGCTGCACTATGCTTGCCACCTACAGTAGGTCTACACCGTTTGCCAGTACTAATTTGAGTGCTAAGCACATTTCTGTCGGTGAATGAAGCGTAGAGAAAGAGCACACATGTGGAGAAATTTTGCATTGAAGTAGGAGAGACTCAAGTTTAGAACCTCTCGCCGAACCGGACAAACCACGAGCCAGTGCCCATGTTGCAATCCCGAGCGTACTCCGCACGCACGGTGCCGAGCCTGACGCCAGCACCCACCGAAGCTCCGAAGCCGGCTCGGCGGAAGAACTCGGTAGGGTTACCAGAAACCAACCCGGAGCTGCCAAGATCTGAAGCCATCTCAGCGAAGGCGTAAACATGGGTGGTCTTGACTGGAACCCTGATCTCACCCGCAAGCTGATGGGGATAATGGGGGCATGCGAACAGAGAAGGCAGGGATAAGGAAAAGGTTGATGAAGAGTTGAGAGGGGATGAGGAAGGAAGGCCAAGAAGGAAGTGATGGATCAGTGACGTGGAGATGGGAGACAGGTGAGAGTGGGTGGCCTCCCAGATCCCCACTTCCACACACAACACACCACACACACAAGCAGGCACCCCAAGTACCCCAAGTATTGTCCCAGGCGCTGAGGCACATCAACACCACCATACACCACCATACACCATCGTACACCACCATACACCATCGTACACCATCGTACACCATCGTACACCATCGTACACCATCGTACACCATCGTACACCATCGTACACCATCGTACACCATCGTACACCATCGTACACCATCGTACACCACCATACACCATCGTACACCACCGTACACCACCACGCACCTCAAGGAAGCGCCTGACAGCTCCAATTTCGCCCATGTTGTACCCGCGGACCGACTAGGGTCCACCCAGAGCATACGCCTTGTACGACGGGAGGCCCAGACATCCCCCGTAGCGCGCGTGCAGCACCCCCACCATGGGCGGGCGGTCCGCACCAGACAACCACACACAACCACACACAACCACACTTCCCCGGTACCCCAGCCACGCACCTCCAGGAAGCGCCTGGCAGCGCCAATCTCGCCCATGTTGTACCCGCGGACGGAATAAGGCCCTCCCAGTGCATATGCTTCATATGAAGGAAGATCGCCCAGACAACCCCGTAGCGTGCGTGCAGCACCCCCACCATGGGCGGGCGGTCCGCAAGGTCCGCACCACCCCCCATCCACACACATACCCAGACACACCCACACAGCCAACACACCCACCATGGGCGGGCAGTCACCCGGTCCACACCCACACGAAAAGCTCAAAGTTCCCTCCCTTCCCAAAGCACTCACCTCAAGGAAGCGCCTGGCAGCGCCAATCTCGCCCATGTTGTATCCGCGGACCGAGTAGGGTCCACCCAGTGCATACGCCTCGTAGGATGGGTCCCCCAGGCACCCTCCGTAGCGCGCGTGCAGCACCCCCACCATGGGCGGGCGGTCCGCATGGTCCACGAAAGGCTCAACACTCCCTTCCCAAAGTACGCACCTCAAGGAAGCGCCTGGCAGCACCGATTTCGCCCATGTTGTACCCGCGAACGGAATAAGGCCCGCCCAGCGCATATGCTTCATAAGATGGTAGGTCGCCCAGGCACCCCCGTAGCGCGCGTGCAGCACCCCCACCATGGGCGGGCGGTCCACACCACACGAAAGGCTCAACGCTCCCTTGCCAAAGGCACCCCCCACACGCAACAACTCGCCTCAAGGAAGCGCCTGGCAGCGCCAATCTCGCCCATGTTGTATCCGCGGACCGAGTAGGGCCCGCCCAGTGCATACGCCTGGCAGGTGGGACACACACCCCAAGACACACACGCGCTAGCTCCACCCCCCTCCCCCCATCCTCTCCCAGCCACCCACCTCAAGGAAGCGCCTGGCAGCACCGATCTCGCCCATGTTGTACCCACGGACCGAGTAGGGCCCGCCCAGAGCATACGCCTCGTAGGACGGGAGGTCGCCCAGACGCCCAGACAGCCACACACAACCATGCACAACCACACACCAGCCACGCACCTCAAGGAAGCGCCTGGCGGCTCCAATTTCGCCCATGTTGTACCCGCGAACCGAGTAGGGCCCACCCAGCGCATACGCCTCGTAGGACGGGAGGTCCCCCAGGCACCCCCCGTAGCGTGCGTGCAGCACCCCCACCATGGGCGGGCGGTCCGCATGGTCCACGTCCTCCTCACTGAGCTGCATGAAGCGCGTGTGCGTGAGCTGATGGCGGTTGAAGAATGGGAAGGCTGACCCGATGCCCAGACCCTGGTCCACCTGTGGAGAGGGGGGGAGGGGAGGAGGAGAAATGGGAGTTGAGACCAATCTAACCCACACCACACAAGGGTCAAGGCAGGCAAGGCAATCAGCTTGCCTCTTGCACTCTGCTTGCCTGGAAAATAGTAAGGTTGCCAACAGGCGTGCCATTCACGAACGAGGTGTTATCGCGCGTCACATTGGCCTGCAGGAATGCCCGTGCCGCTGAGCGTGGTGGGTGGGCCATTGGGGGTGGGCAGGCCTGAGGGCAGCACCTCACAACTGATGTCTATTTTCATGAATTCTCACCTGGAAAATGGTACGGTCGCCAACGGGGGTCCCGTTGACAAAGTTGGTGTTATCACGCGTCACGTTCGCCTGCAGGAATGCCACGCGGTCAACACCCGTGCCGCTGAGCGTGGTGGGCGGGCCATCGGGGGTGGGCAGGCCCGAGGGCAGCATCTTGAAGCCGTGTGTGCAGATGCTCGTGTTCTCATCACGCGTCGTCACCTCCTCTATCACCGCCCCGTACGTGATGCGGCTCTGTCGGGTGAAGTTCTGTGAGTGGATGGGAATGGGAGCAAGGAAAAGAGGCAGTGAGGGTGGTGAGGCGGAGGTGAGGAGAGCCAATCACTGATTCTGCTATGACGGGTGAAGTTCTGTAGGGGAAGGGCAGGTGGCAATTTCACCTCTCTGCACACCAGTCTATCCACATTGGTTGACCCCAATTCTCACCGTGTCTCATCCTGTCTCGCCTCATTCCACCTTTCCATCGTTTGCGACTAACCCCGACTCACCTCGCTGACAGTGGCCTTGATACCGGCTCGGTCCACCCAGATGGCCGGCACCTCGTCCAGCGACGGCCCGCCTGTGAACACAGCCGACACCTTGCGGTGGTTGAAGCACGTCACCCTTGCTTCCCCGCCTCATATTCCCTGCTTGGCACCGTTTTCTACCATTCGCTAGTCCATTCCTCACAGCTCTTTATCCTGTCTCACCTTGTCCCTCCTCCCCCTTGATCTCACCTCACTGACAGTGGCCTTGATACCGGCTCGGTCCACCCAGATCGCCGGCACCTCGTCCAGCGACGGCCCGCCCGTGAATACCGCCGACACCTTGCGGTGGTTGAAACACGTCACGCGGCCCACGCGGTTGCGACTCGTGTCATCCACGCCGTCAATGTATGGGTGCACGTACTCGAGCTTGAACACCAGATCGTCCTGTGATGGGTAGAGAGGGTTGGGGGGGGAGGAGGGGGAGGGTAGGAGAGGGGATCCTGGTCGTTCTCATCGGGGGCTCGTGTCATCCACGCCGTCGATGTACGGATGCACATACTCCAGCTTGAACACCAGATCGTCCTGTGATGGGGAGATAGAGAGAGGGGGAATAAGAACGGGAACCGAGTGAGAGGGGGAGCAGCAGAGGTAAGAGCGGGAGCGGGAGTAGGAGGGGGAGTACATGGGAGGACAGAAGATTGCCTGCACTCGCAGGACTTGGAAGACATGGATAGAGGCACGGCATGGCATGGCATGGCATGGCATGGGATGGCATGGGATGGCATGGCATGGCATGGCATGGCATGGCATGGCATGGCATGGCATGGCACGGCACGGCACGGCATGGCACGGTATAGAGGAGTACCTGCGGCGAGAGCAGGTTGCCGGCGCTGACGGAGCCGGTGACGGAGCGATTGAGGCCGTTGATGTTGCGGTGCTCGAATGACACGCTGCCACCTGGCAGGATGGACACCTGGCGTTGGGTTGGGGGACAGGACAGCGGGCGGAGAGGAGATGTCAGCGACAGCGGAGCGCGCGAGCAGGATGGCGAGGCGGAGAACGGGAAGGGGAGAATGGCCTGGGGGATGTGAGGCTCTGTCATCTGTACCATTGCTGTAGTTCCCCGCTTTTTGAGGCGCCTTTTTTTGAGGCGATCTTTGAGGCGCCTCAAAAATGGCCTGGGGGATGTGAGGCTCTGTCATCTGTACCATTGCCGTACTGCCCCGCCGACACTACACAGCCCCACGTGCCTGCGGCACAGCCCAGCCCAGCCCAGCCCAGCCCAGCGTACCGTGGGTTTCCCAGTGTCCCCAGGCTGAATGCTCCACTCGGTCTGCACCTCAGCTGAGGTCGGCTCCTGCTCGCGGACCTTCACCTCCATCACAATGCCCCCTTCCAGCTGGTCGTCGGGCCTTGGGTTGACCTCCCGACAACTCCACCGCACTGCAAACCCCACAACCTACCCCGCACCCTACACAACACCGTACAATTCGTACCCCACATACTGCCAGCTTACCGTGGGCTTGCCGGTATCCCCAGGCTGAATGCTCCACTCCGTCTGAACTTCCGCAGAAGTGGGCTCCTGCTCGCGGACCTTCACCTCCATCACAATGCCCCCTTCCAGCTGGTCGTCGGGCCTTGGGTTGACCTCCATGTTGGCGAACAGCTGCAGCGACGAGATGCTCTGCAGGGCCTTGCGCCCCGCCTCTATGTTGAACACGTTGCCTGGCTTGATCTGGGGTGGAGGGGGTGGGTGGGGGAGAAGCAAGAGACAGGGGCGGGAGGGGGTACAGGAAAGAGGAGCAGTGGTTGGTGGCCTCCAGATGCGCTGGGCCTCGATGTTGAACGCACTGCACAAGGAGGGAGAGGAGGAGGAAGGGGCGCAGGGTGGTGGGGAAGGTGCCCCCTTCCAGCTGGTCATCAGGCCGTGGGTTGACCTCCATGTTGGCAAACAGCTGCAGCGACGAGATGCTCTGCAGGGCCTTGCGCCCCGCCTCTATGTTGAACACGTTGCCCGAGTGAAGAAGGGAAGGGGAGGGGGAAGGGGATATGGTGGATGTGGGAACGAATGGAGGATGGGAGCTGATCTGTAGGGCCTTGCGCCCCGGGGCGCCTCTATGTTGAACACGTTCCCCGGCTTGATCTGCGAGTGAAGGGAGCGAGGCGCACGCAGGAATGGATGGGGGATGTTTGATGTGAACCGGGGAATGGGAGCTGCTCTGCAGCGCCTTGCGCCCCACCTCGATGTTGAACACGTTGCCCATCTTGTCAAGGATTTGCACCTCCACACCCGTGATGTCCTTATCCCCCTCTCTCCCCTATACCCCTCACCTCGATGGGCAGTTCCCGCATCACAACGCGTTCATCAGTGATGCCTTCGCAGCGCTGCCCCATCTTGTCAAGGAACTGCACCTCCACGCCCGTGATGTCCCCCTCCACCACCTCGCACACGATGTCAGGCGTGTTCAGGTTGCCAAAGTTGATCACCTGTAAGCATGGGAAGGGAAGGAAGAGGGCGAGGATAAAGGAGAGGCAGGTCATCTCAACTGCACCTCCACGCCCGTGATGCCCCCCTCCACCACCTCGCACACGATGTCAGGGGTGTTGAGGTTGCCAAAGTTGATCACCTGGAACGGGGGAGAAATCATGGAAAGGAAGGGATGCGGAAGGAGTGGGAGGGGGGAGATGAGGGGGGAGATGAAGGGGGGTTGAAACTGCACCTCCACACCCGTGATGTCGCCCTCCACCACCTCGCACACAATGTCAGGCGTGTTCAGATTGCCGAAATTGATCACCTGGAGAGGGCGGTGGAGGAGGGGAGGGGGAGAGGAGGGGAGGGGGAGAGGAAGGGAGAGGGGGGAGGAGGGGGCAGTTGGTAGCTTCACTCCATGCCGGTGACATCGCCCTCCATCACCTCGCACACAATGTAGGTCGTGTTCAGATCAGATTGGCCGATCATCCACATACCACACCATACCACCCACACGCTGCCACAAAACACCCACCTACAAACCACATTGGCACCCACACCCACCTACAAACCACACACGAAAGGTACTCACATTGGCGCAGGCATAGCCCTTGTCATGGTACCACTTGAGAATGCAATTGCGGATCTTCTGCAGCATGCTGCATTGCCACTCATCCACATACTGACCATCCACCAACCCAACTGCATACATACACCCACCCATGCAGGAGGGCCACTCACATTGGCACAGGCACAGCCCTTGTCGTGGTAGCGGATCTTCTGCAGCATGCTTGCGGTGAGAGCCGGCCACAGCCAGCCAGCAGGCCATTAACCATCCTCCCATCCACCCACCCCTATCCTCCCAAACACCGCCCCCCACTATGGCACTCACATTGGCACAGGCGTAGCCCTTGTCATGGTACCACTTGAGGGTGCAATTGTGGATCTTCCGCAGCATGCTTGCGGTGAGAGCCAGTCAGGCAGCCACGCACCCACCCTCTCACCATCCGCCCATCCCGCACCCACCACAGCGCACACATGAAAGCCACTCACATTGGCACAGGCGTAGCCCTTGTCGTGGTACCACTTCAAGATACGATCCCTAATCTTCTGCAGCATGCGCGCAGTGAGGCGCCCCTCGCGTTGCACCATGGCGCTCAGCTCGTTCTCCACCTTGCGAGGCAGCAGGCACTGCCGCGCCTGCCTCAGCCGCTCCGCATACGCCGCCTCCTGCTTCGCCGCGTCCTCTGTCGCCTCCTGCCCCGACGCGTCCGGCTGCACGAGCCCCATGTTCACACAGCGAACCGTCTTCGCCGCCTGCCACTGCGCCTCAAGCACCTTCACCTCCAGCTGCGGGGCACACGGGGTTCGGAGAGATGTGGCGATCGGGTAGGTGGCGGAAGGGGTGAGGTGGGGCAGAGGTGAGCTACAGTGGTTGTCACGGCCGTTACTCGCATACGCCGTCCGGCTGCACGAGCCCCATCCCATGTTCACACACCGCACCGTCTTGGCCGCCTGCCACTGCGCTTCCAGCACCTTCACCTCCAGCTGCAGTCCCCAGGCGTTCGGAGGAGCGGGGAGGAGTGGGAAGCGGAGGATGGGGGGAACGGGGCGGGGAGAGGTGGGAAGGCGCGAGGAAAGGGAGGCAGAGGTGGAAAGAACGACCGCCAAAGCTGCCGCGTCCTCTGACGCCCTCCTTCCTGCCCCCCAGCGTATGTTGACACACCGCCCATGATGGGTAACCCATCTACCCACTCCCTTTGCCACCATGTCTCAAACCACCCCCCCCCACCCCCCCCTCCTTCCTCCTAGTCCTCCTCCTCCTCTTCCTCACCTTAACAATCCCCGTTACAGTACGACCACCCGGCTGGACACCATGTTCGACACCTCCGCCTCTTCACCTCCACCCCACCTCATCCCCGTTTTAGGCAATCACCAACCCGTTATAATGCGCTATACGCACCTTGATGGACCCGTCAGGATTCGCGACGGTATCAGCCTCGACCATTTGAAACATGCCACTAGACGCCATGTTGGCCACCTCGGCCTCGAGCTGAGCGCGCGTGCACACGGTGCCCTTGCCCACCGACACCATCTCGTAGAACCCGTCCGCCTTGGGAATGACGCGGTCGCTGCGCTGGTCAACCAGGTCAACGTCCGCCACGCGGTACCGCTTCGTCGTGCTCAGCTTGTCCACCGCCACGCGCGTGCCCGCCTGGGGGGAGGTGAGGGGAAGGGGGGCGGGTGGGGGTGGGGGTGTGGGGTGGAGGCGGAAGGGAGTAAGGATGAGGCAAAAGAAGGGCTTCGTCGTGCTCAGCTTGTCCACCGCCACGCGCGTGCCCGCCTGGGGGGAGGGGGGGAGGGGGGGGGAGCGGGAGGGGGAGGGCCGAGAGAATGGGATGGGCGAGTATATGGCGCAAGAAAGGGCTTCGTCGTGCTCCGCTTGTCCACCGCCACGCGCGTGCCCGCCTGGAACGGTAAGTGGGAGGGGAGGGGGGGGTTGTTGGGTTGGGTTAGACGACGGCAGTATGGAACGAGGGAGCGTGCCTCAGATTGCCCAATAACGGAAGGAGAAACGACGGGCAAGATGAGCGGGCGATGCTCGTCCTCGTGCTGCGTTCCGCGTGTCCGCTGCCACGCACGCGCAGCCTGGGTTGCGTGGAACGCGGGGGTTGAGGACTCCGGAGGCCATGCGGCCTGGACCGTGGGGAGTGGAGCGTGGAGGGAGGAGCGTGAGGCGTGGAGAGTGGGGAGAGGGGAGTGCGGAGGGAAAGGTGGCATTGCGCTATGAATGAGACAACATGACTAGTGAGTCAAGTCAAAAGTCGCAATGGGGGGGAGTGGTGACGGTATTGTGGTATCTTCGCAAGCAAAATGTTTAAGCATGCGCCCAGGATTTCAAACCTGCGACGCGCAACTGCTCCCACGGAGCTACGATGACGCGCGCTCCAATCGATTTTCACACGCATGCTGTGAGGGTTCGATTGATTCTAACCCGCATGTTATAAGGGCTGAACCCAGTCTCACCCGCATGCCGTGAGGGTCGAACTCCTCCGCCTTAACCGCCGCAGCCGCCGCTTTCTTCTCCTTCTCCTTCTTCGCCTTCTCTTCTGCCTCCTTCTTTCCCGCCGCCTCCTTCGCCTTAGCATCGCCCTCCTCCTCCTCCTCCTCCTCCTCGTCCTCCTCCTCCTCATCCGACTCCTCCTCGTCGTCGCTCTCCTCCTCCTCTGATTCCGATTCCTCGTCATCCTCCGCTGCTACAGCCGCGTCCCACTCCCACCAGTTCCGCTTTCCCCTGCCTCGCCCGTTCCCCCCTCCGCCACCCCCTCCTCCGCCTCCTCCGCCGCCGCTACCGCCTCCCCCGCCGCCTCCTCCCCCTCCTATAATACTGGTCAGAATATCAAGGCCATCTTGCCGCATTAAGACGCAGCCAATGCCGCTGCCGGCTGCTAGGCCGGCGCCGGTTAAAGCGGCTTTCCTAATCCATCCGGAGTCTCCGGAGGAGATTGATCGGCTGCGGTTATGGCTGCTGTTGCTGCTGAGAGCGACGATCTGGATGGGTCGGCGTCTGGAGGAGTGAGAGGCGGTGAGGTGCGGCGGAGGAGCGTGGAAAGCTGCTGGTTGGGAGTGAGCGTCGGATGTGCTCGCCGGGGATTGTGTTGCGACGAGCGATCTGATCGGGAGTGGAATGCGGGTTGAAATGCAAGGGTAAATAATGAGATGAAAGGACGCGTGAGCTTAGAGCTATCAGACGATGAAGCTGAGGAACTCGACTATGTCAAGTGCCCGTTAATAAAAGTCGGCGCTAATGTTGAATAGTGCACTATACGATGAAGAGAAATAGAGAAAAAAACCGTCTTAGTTTGTTTGTGATTCTACCTAACAGCCAAATAGTTGAGCAAGACAGAACGAAGATCGAACGTACCACGCCACGAGAAAAAATAAAACTAAGGACGTACTTGATACTCGCATAACTAGCAGCGACGGTGCTAGCTGCTGTCGCCATTGTCCTCTGACAAAGGTGGTGGACAGGTTAAAAAATCCCGTATATTATAGTGTCAGACTAGAAAGAGAGAGAGGACAAAGATATATGATCCAGGCTCTGCTGGATTAGGGTTCCACTCGCAAGAGATGCCGCGAAGTTAGCAAGGGTAGCGACAATGGCGGCCAGACTACCTCTGATCGCCAGCTCGATCAGGCTTCTGACCAGAAAGGAAGAAAACCAGGGAGGGTGGGGAAGTGATGTGCGCTACCATTCGAAGGCAGAGGGGGAGGAGCAGACGAGACGAGATGCCATGCAACGGATAGGATCAGGTACCAAGCGAAACGTGGTAACCAGTTCGATGCCCCCAAGGCCGGCTGATGGGGTGTGGTGCTGGCGAAATGTCCGTCTGGGTTTTGGGCGGGTTTGCCCTAGAGATTGACCCAAATATTCGAAGCTTGTCGTGCTGCCACCTGGCTATAGTTGCCAACTGGAAACTCCCTACACTAGCATCTTCGATAACGTTGATGACCTTATGAAAAGTGTGTTGATGACGTGTGTTGATGAATCCTGCCTCACAAAAATAAGGGTGAAAATATTTGCCAACAGCACACCTTTGGCCATGTATAGTGCAAGTCAGTATATGAACCATGATAGATTGGATCACTAGGAACCTAGATTCAAAACCTGTCCCCAATCAAAAATCATTTTACCGTATATTTCAAATCATGTATCAACTACATGCTAACGAAGATCTTGTATTCTCTTCCGATGCAAGCGACGTTGCATTCGAGCATGTGTATGCTGGCTAACAAATAGCGAGTTTATCGGGGAGGAGAGCAGGCTTCTCCTCCTTGAGTCAAGGCAGTACGGCAGATCCATCCCCAATGACTCCTCGCTCTCATCACCACTCTTCACTGCTTCATACCACTCGTGCACCAAGCAGCCTCCTGACCCAGCCACCTCCCCAACGAAATCTCTTACTGGAGGACACTGTAACGAGGACGGCTCTGTAGTCATCGCATTCCTCTCCTGCAATGGACTGACGAGACGGGCTGTTATCGCGTCCGTTGCAATTGTCTTCTTTGTCCCTTCCAGCACACTTTCTGCTACAGCTCTTACCCCTGCTCGTGCGGCGGCTGATGCTACAACTGGTGCGGGTGGTGCTGCCGGTGCAACAACCGGTGTTCCCAGTGCAACAGCAGCAGCCATGCCCTGCCGATTAGCTTCTGCTTCACGCATGAATCTGGTGGAGCCAGGCAGTGGCTTGTGCCCCCTGAATCCCCTGCTTCGACCTGGCTCCGAACTCGGTCTACGACCCCTAAATCCCCTGTGCATGGCACCACGAGCACCTCTCACTTCATACTGGCTCATTGGAAAGGTGCTGCTGCTGCCGCCTCTCAGCCACACACCAGATTGGTCACCACTGCTAGCCCCCACACCAGCATGGCAGCTGCCTTGTTTCATCCCCGTGCCAGCCTGGCTGTCAGACAGGCAGCTACTGCTGCTGCCACGAGCAGCGGTCACTTCAGCCTGGCTCACAGGGAAGGTCCTACTGTCACACCTCAGCCTCACACCAGCACCGTCGCCTTCTCTAGCCCCCAAACCAGCATGACTGCTGTCGTCTCCCATCCCCATGCCAGCCTGGTTGTCAGACAGGCAGCTGCTGCTGTTGCTGCTGGCGTGCTGCTGGTGGGGGAAGGGATTTTTGGGAGCAGTGGGGACACGTGCTGCTTCGAGAGCTGCTGCTTTCTTTGAAGACGCGCGCAGCCACTCGTACATCGCCACCTGGCACACCACCTCGTAGTCCGACTCCTCATCCTCACTATTGAGCTCCCTGGTTTTGCTACCATAGTCTGCCCCACAGTGCCAACGTGCCTGTTGCTGCTGCTGCTGCTGCTCCTCCCAATGCTGATGCTGCTGCTGTTGCTGCTGCTCCCACTGCTGCTGCTTCTGTCGTTGCTGCCTCCACTGCTGCTGATACTGTTGCTTCTGCTCCTGTCGCTGGGCCCACTGTTGCTGCTGCTGCTGCTGCTGCTGCTGTTGCAGTCGTTCCCACTGCTGCTGCTCCTGCTGATGCTGCTGATGCCATGCCACTTCCGCACCAACAGAAGCAGAAGCATCAGGGGTAACCAGCCTTGGGCTGGCACATGAAGCCTTGTGGCCTATGTCAAATCCCCCAGATTCACGGGTAGAGTCAGCACAGGATGCAGACTGGCACCCATGGCCGCGGCTAGAGTGATGGGTACTCTCACAGCGGTGCTGTGGCCGGCAGCAGCCACTCTTGTACGCATTGTTGTCACAGGTGTAGCATTCGTTACAGTCACACTTGAGGAGATGGCAGCTGGCATCACAGCTGCAGCCCCCTCCACTGTCACACGAGCTATTACAGTCATGGTTAGAGTGACGGGTTGGCCTACCACCATGCACCCTGGCATTTGCTTGAAGCAGGCATCTGCTCCTGACGTGGCAGCTGTTGACGTGGCATCCGCTCCTGACATAGCATCTGCTGGTGATGCATCCGTTTTCGTGGGCATGAGTAGCGTTGCTCCCGTAGCAGCTGCATTGCCAGCTGTCCCTTCTACAAGAGGCCACGGCACGTGCCAGGTGCCCACATGGACTGACAGCTTCAACACCAGGTGACCAGGCCACGTCAGCATCATGTGGACACGCCACGTCAGCACCCCTGCAGCTTCTCCTGTGGAGAAAACAGTCTCCAGGCAGAGTGATCTGGTGAACTGAAAAGTTTGCTGGAAGGCTTGCCTGCATGCATGTTGCTCCTGCCGCCCCTGCCACCCCCACCGCCCCTGCTGCTCCTACCGCTTTGGCTGCTTCAGCTGCAGGGTGGCAGGGGTGTGAGTGGCGTATGCCATGAGTCTGTGTGCCCACCACGCAGTGACCCTGCCGCCGCCCCTGCCACCCCTGTTCACACGCACCACGGTACTTCAGAGAATCCTCACAGCCACCCTGGGAGTGCACGCAATGGCTAGGCTCACAGGCACCTTCACAGGGTCTCCTCAGGAGCACGCCCACCCGCTCCAGCATGCCTCCCAACGCCTCTCCTCTTGCCTCATGCGCCCCTTTTCCCACCTCGCCCCATTCGGGCGATGCGCCACCACAAATGAATCGCCCTGCTTCTACACCCGCAACTGATTCCTCACACTTCTCTCCTTCTGTCAAACTCTTCCCTCCTCTCCACCCCTCTCCTTCGTCCCCTTCTCCCCTTCCATCTCCTCCTCTCCACTGCTCTTCGGTCCACCCTTCGTTTCCAGGGCACCATCCTTCAGTCCCCGGACACTCACTTTCCAAATACCCCTCTGTATTTGTGTTTTCTTCGTATTCTGTAAGCCCCTCACGACCTCGCTCGGTCTCAAGCCATTTTCCTTCCAAATACCCCTCTTCATCTAAATACCCTTCTCTTTCTGAATACTCCTCTCCTTCTGAATACCCCTCTCCTTCCGAATACCTAGTGTCCTCCGCATTCCCCTCTCCTTGCGAAAGTTCTTCCTCTTTCCTCAAACTATCTCCATCACTAAACCCCTCCTCGTCCGTACACTCCTCCTCCTCTAACAACATTCTTCTTTTGGCCCAGCCTCTTTCAGTCCGGAGCCAAACCCCTACCCGATGCGTCTCCCCGTCTGAACACCCATTGCTCTTCATGCATCCCTCCCCTTCTGAAATCCCCTCATCATTCTCTTCTGCAAAAATCTCTCCGTCTGCGAAATCCTCTCCTTCTGCACACCCCTCTCCTTCTTCACACCCCTCTCCTTCACCATACCCCCGTCTTTCTGCATACCTGTCCCCTTCTGAACATTCCTCCCCTTCAGCCAGGCCCACATCATCCACAGCCCCTCCGATCCACCTCTGAAAGCCATCACTCCAGCCCCACGTCCAGGCCCAACCATCACCTTCACACCCCTCTGCACCGCCCTCGCCACCGCCGTCCCCACCGCCGTCCCCACCGCCGTCCCCACCGTCGTCCCCACCGCCGTCCAAACCGTCGTCCCCGCAGCCGCCCCTATGCCTGCCCTGCACTTGCCCAAGCACAGGACGAGCGTCCCTTGGCCCCTTGGCCGCATGGCTGGCAGCCTTGTGTGAGCTGGTGAGCGCAGGGGAACTCTCGCCAGCCTTCCTGCGCTCTTTTCCGCCCTCCTTCAGCCTTTGCAGCCGGAGCAGGGCTCGCAGTGCCTCCGGTGCCCCTTGCATTGACTGGGTTGACTGCGTTGACTGGGTTGAGTGTGTTGACTGCGTTGACTGGGTTGACTGGGTTGAGTATGTTGACTGTGTTGCCTGCGCTGAGTGCGTTGACTGCGTTGACTGCACTGGTTGCATCGTCTGTGTCACCTGCTTAGTAGGCACGCCAGCCATCTCCTTCAGTCTCCGCAGCTTCTGCAGAAGCTTCCGAACCCTCTCAGACATGACGTCACCTACTGCTTCCTCACCAGCTGTTACACGACTTGTTTTGGAATGCCCATCCCGCATCAAACCCTCCTTCCCCAACTCCTGCCTCCTCATTCTACTGGATAACTTCTTTCCCCCCCCCACGTGCAGCAGCTGTTGAATCCTCTCCAGGTTCTCCTGCATGCAAGCAGCAGCTGCTGCCGGCGTGTCACTGGGAGGCACGCCAAACCGAGCCAGCCGTGCCTTGACCTTGTGCAGATGCATCTCAATGGCGGCTGCATCCGGTGCACAAGAGATGGGAGACAACACTCTCAGTGGTAGTGATGGTGATGATGTGTCCGAGCCATGCTCTGACGTGTCACTTCCATGCTCTGACGTGTCACTTCCATGCTCTGACGTGGCACTGGCGCTGCTGTCCAGGCTGTATCGTAACCTGCCGCTGCTGCTGCCACTGCTACAGCTGGTGGAGTGCTTGGTGCTGTAGCCAGTGCAGGAGCCCTTGTCGTCACTCCTGCTGCAGCTGCTGCAGCTGCTACAGCTGCTACAGCCACTACGGCTGTTACAGCTACTCACACTGGTGCATCGTAATGTGTCAGCGCTACAGCTGCTGGCGCAAGTGCTGCTGGTGCTGCACCATGTTGCCCTGTGCCCACTCAACTGACCATGCTGCTGCTGTTGCTGCTGTTCCTTCTGCTGCCTCTTTGTCAGCAGCCCTCTTACTGCTTCGTGCTGTTGCTTATGCTCGCTCTCTCTCTGTTGCTGCTGCTGCTGCTGCTGCTGCCACCGCCGATTTTGCTGATGCTGCTCCCTTGGCTGACATCCCTCCTCTTCCCACCCATTCCTTCGCCGTTCCAGATCCTCACTCTCTCCTTCGCTCCACCCGTCCTCTTCCTCCTCCCACCCACCACCTGTTTCATGCGCTTCTCGCTCTTCTTCCCCTTCCCACCCATCCCGTCCCTCTCTCCATCTAACCTCTCCTTCCTCCCTTTCACCATCTCGTTCCACCTCCTCATTCCCTCCTTCTCTCCACCCATTCTCATCCCATACATCATCTGTCTCGTGCTCATAACGCTGTTCTTCCCCTCCCCACCCATCCTCTCCCTCACTCCACTTAACCTCCCCCTCCTCCCATCCACCATCTCGTTCCACATCCTCCTGCTCTCCTTCACTCCACCCAACCTCTCCCTCCTCCCTCCCACCACCTGTCTCATGCCCTTCCCCCCTATTGCCTCCCTCTTCCCACCCATTCTTTTGCTCTTCTCGGACCCCATCTATCTCACGCTCCTCCTTCCCTCCATTCTCTCCCCACCCACACTCCTCTGCCTCTTTCTCCCGCACAAACTCCTCCCTCAGCTCCTGTTCTCGCTCCCACTCGCGCCGAGCCTCATCATACTCCTCCATTCGCTTCCACTCCGCCTCATCCATTTCCCCTCCCTCTTGCTCGTCCTCTTTTCCCAACCCCCACCAACCCCACTCGTTCTCCCACTCCCGTTGTTCCTTCTCCTCCTTTTCCTCCACTCCCCATTCCTCATCCGCCTCCAACCCCCCTCCTCCCCATCCACATAGTATATCCCACACGCATCTTTCCTCACATCCACAAGAGGAAAAGGATGCGGAACCTCATCCTTTTCCTCATCCTCATCCTCACACCTTTCGTCTTTCTTGCCTTCCTGAGTCACCTCCTCTTTCCTTACCTTCGTACTCCCTGCCACTACTTCCTCAACCTTCACACACTCGTCCGCACCCCCTTCTACCTCCTCCACCCTACCCCCTTCCACTTCCTCCCCCTCACCAGCTATACCAAACGACGGCATGGCACATGCTTTACATGCACGTGTGGCAGATCCCCCTGACCCAGATATACCTGCACAAGATCCACCTCCCTCAGAACTGATACTCCCTGCACCTGCCAACCCCCTTGTCCGCTCACGTGCTTCCAATCCCGCAATAGCAGCAGCAGCAGCAGCAGCAGCAGCCACTGGTGCTGCTGCTGCTGCTGCTGGTGGTGGTGGTGGTGGTGGTGGTGGTGGTGGTGCTGCTGCTGCTGCTGCTACTGCTGCTGCTACTGCTGCTGCTGCACGTCACACGCGCGTTCATGCTCCCACCTGGGCCTACCGCCATCCCCGGTCGCCCCATCTGCTCCCTCACTGCCCGCTGCATCGTCACTTCCCTTGCCACAGCAACAGCACCAACACTGGCGGCACTCCCGAGGGCAGCAGTTTCAAGGGCGGAAGTCCCAAGGGCGGCAGTCCCAAGGGCATTAACATTGGCACTCTCAAGTCTATCTTCAACGCCATGCAGGCAGGCGTGCAGGAAGACAGCGGCGCGTTGGTGGAGGAGAGGCGAGGCGATGATTTCGGCTGCTGAAGGTCGCTCAAAGGGGATCTGCGTGGGAAACAGTACATATGCGTTGGGGAAGATGCGGGGGGGGAGAATGGGGGAAGGGATGCGGGAAGGCAGAGGCATGATGACGAAAGAGAGGGGAGTGGAAGATGCGTGGAATGGCCAGAAATTGAGAGCGTGTGTGGGGACAAGCGATGGGAAACATGGAAAGGAATGGGGAAGGTTGATGCGTGGAAAGGGGTTGCATAGGGATGGAATTGGCTTGGACAAAGGCAATGTGATGAACACCATAGGATGGAATTCGCTCTTTGTAACGCATGGTAGCTTTAGGCATGCAGACATGCAGCTGAACGCGCAATTGCACCCACATATGCTCATGCAAATGAACACTCGAACGCACATGCACATGCACATGCACACACACATGCACATGCACATGCACATGCACACACACATGCACATGCACATGCACACACACATGCACACACACATGCACACACACACATGCACACACACACATGCACATGCACATGCACATGCACATACACATGCACATGCACATGCACATGCACATGCACATGCACACACACATGCACATGCACATGCACATACACATGCACATACACATGCACATGCACATACACATGCACATACACATGCACATACACATGCACATGCACATGCACATGCACATGCACACACACATGCACATGCACATGCACATGCACACACACATGCACATGCACATGCACACATGCACACACACATGCACACACACATGCACACACACATGCACACACACATGCACATGCACATGAACCTGCACCCAGACATCCAAGCGAACAGCACACACTATGCGAGTTAATTCAACTGTAGCATCCGACACTGCTCGACCTACCTGGGAGTGTTAAATGCACCTGAGAGTGTTGAAATCACCTGAGACTGTTGAATCACCTGAGAGTGTTGAATCACCTGAGAGTGTTGAATTCACCTGAGATTGTTGAATTCACCTGAGAGAGCATGCGTCTGACCAGCGCACAGAGGTCAGGAGAATAACTGCCGGATGGGAGAAGAGGACGAAGGGAAGAGCAAGGGGGTAGAGGAGAGTGGGAGAGTGGAGGAGAGTCGGGGAGTGGAAGAGAGTGGGAGAGTGGAAGAGAGTGGGAGAGTGGAAGAGAGTGGGAGAGTGGAGGAGAGCGGGGGAGTAGAGGATTGAAACAGGGAAACGAGTAGGGGAGCGGGGGAGTGGGATAGGCAAGCGATGGGGAGAAGAGCGTGCACCCATGCACTGGTATAGGAAGTGGCAAAGCGGAAGGAAGAGGGAGTGGAAAGAATGGGATTGGGAAGACGAGGAGGGCGAGTGGGACGGGTTGCACGAGAGAGGGAGTGTTGACATGAGAGATCCGAGGCGTCTCAAAGCTTGGTTAGCTTGAGAGCGTTCAAAGACCTTTGGTCGACTCATGTGCACTAGGAACCGCACCGCACCGCATGGCGCAGCACAACACAGCACCCAGCAAAGCACCGCACAGCACAGCACAGCACAGCACCGCACAGCACAGCACCGCACAGCACCGCACAGCACAGCACAGCACAGCACCGCACCGCACAGCACAGCACAGTACATACCAGTGGGGCGGGGCGTCATGGCAGCCCGAGAGCACGAACGAAACCAGATCGTGGATGGACGCGGGCGGGGGGAATGGCACTCGCGGTGTCTCAGGTGTCTCAACAGTTTTGAGGCGCCTCAAAACAGTACATACCAGTTGGGCAGGGTGTCATGGCAGCCTGAGAGCACGAATGAAACCAGCTCGTGGACGGACGCGGGTGGGGGAAATGGCTCTTGCGGTGTCTCAGGTCTCTCAGGTGCATCAACAGACGTGGCAGGGAAACATGCGTCGCTGACAGTCATGGCTGCACAGAGCATGCAGCCCAGCGCTTGAACGTCTGCGCAGGGCGAGGGCGGGGAGATGCAAGGGAGGAGGCCAGAGATAATGGTTTTGAAGGGAATGGAAGGAGAAGGGGGCGAGCTGGTGGTTGATAATGAAGGGAAGTGATGCCTCGGTGACGGCGGTGGCTGCACGGATCATGCAGCCCAGCGCTTGAATGTCTGCGCAGGGCGAGAGAGTATGATCATGGGAGGGATGGAAGGATCGGGAGACCGGCTGGTGGATGGATTTAAGTGAAGGGAAGTGATGGCTCGCTGACGGCCATGGCTGCATGGAGCATGATTAAATGCCATGTACCACCATGTGCCTGCGTCCCAAGCCGTGTCACCTATCGTTACATCTGGCGTTTCATCTCACCTGATTTGCAGTCGTACGGTTGCTGGCGTGTCATCTCGGCGGCCATGCCCATCCCCAGCCGCACACGCGCGGGGTTGCTGTCGCTTGGGCTGCAAAGGAGAACGTTCTCCGCCTGCTGCCACCAGGGGGAGTGTGGCGGGGTGGGGAAGAGACAGGAGGTGATGCTGATTGATAGGGTCGAAGCTCAGCTGCTCGCATGGGCTGCATACTAGAACGTTCTCCGCCTGCTGCCACCAGGGGGAGTGTGGCGGGGTGGGGAAGAGACAGGAGGTGATGCTGATTGATAAGGTCGAAGCTCAGCTGCTCGCATGGGCTGCATACTAGAACATTCTCCGCCTGCTGCCACCAGGGGGAGTGTGGCGGGGTGGGGAAGAGACAGGAGGTGATGCTGATTGATAGGGTCGAAGCTCAGCTGCTCGCATGGGTTGCAAACAGGAACGTTCTCTGCCTGCGGCCACCAGGGACGGGGGGGGTGTTGGGGTGGGGGTGGTTGTGTGACCAGGGGAGGTGCGGCACACGGGAAGGGGAGTGGAGCGGGGCGCTAAGGAACAGGATGTGACGTTGTTTAAAAACCAGATTTATGTGTTCATGCGTTCCCGTGAGTTCATCTGCTCTCATGTGTTCATGTGTTCCCATGAGCTCTCATGTTCTCTCATTTCTTCTCATATGGTCCCATGTGCTCGCATGCAATGATGCATGTACTCTAACGCCAAGATTAGGGGCAGTGCGCGTACTTATTTTTACGCGTTTTTGCACTCTGCGGTATACGCACCGTGACACCTCGATGCGGTAAGTTGTGGTGGTGCATATGCTCCATCGCTAAGGCCGCTTGCAGAAGCCAGTCAACAATACTCTGCTCAGGTATGCTGGGATGGGCGTAACAGGGAACATATGAAAGTGCAACCTGAGTGGACTTATTACACCGTTTCCAAATGTGAAAATTGTCAGTGACAATGTTGCAAGGGCAGCGGAAAAATTGTCTGGAAAAAAATTCGGAAGATAAACAACTTAGCACAATTAAGCACACTATGCAAGACCCTTCCACTCACAACGACTTTCTTTCTTCATGGCTTCTTATCAGGTCCGCGAGTGTGGCGCCTCCACAGTACTCCATCACTGTAGCAAACGAAGTGAAGCACAAATGGATGAATGGGTTCGAACGCTCTAGATAATACAGATCACTCTGGTAACTAAGGCTTATCACGTGAGACATCCAGAATCATGCGTGCGCACATGAACATGACGGCACAAGCATCAGCCGAAACTTACCAGTACAGAGGGTCTGCGAGGCCTCATCGATAAACACTTCCTGCGCGTAGCATCCACTCGACACGGAACGAAAACATCAGAAATGGCTGGAAAGTTATGCTGAATAGAAGCGTTTCGACATGATCTCGACAGGAAGGGACGGAAAGAAATTGAAGGTGTATGAGGCCTCGCGGCACGTTCCTGGTTGCGTATACATGCCAGAGATTCGAAAACTAGTTGCGCCGTCCCCGCGCCGTCTCACCCGCGCCCCTCTCACCCGCGCCCCTCTCACCCGCGCCCTCTCGCCTCATCCTACGCAACTTCACCGGCGCCCTCACCTTGCATTCAGCCAGGCACGGATGGCGCAGCTGCATCATCCTCTCTTCCTCCCTCACGCACGCCGCACGCTGTGCCGCGTCTTCCGGCAGCGGAACGACGCGCATCACCCACACGGCATCCGGAGGTACTCTCCCCTCGGACTCGCCTGCTCCCTCCGCAGCGTCATGACTGACGAAGCTCGCAGCTCCGCTTACTCTAAGCGAGCTATCGCTACAAGCTAAGCCGTTACCCCGTGCTCGCTTTTCACGGACTAGGTAAAATCTCCCATGCGCACCACGTCTCAGCTCTTCCACGACCTCATAATCGTTCATAATCGGGTGGCACGCGAGTGGATCCGCGGCCGGAACTTCTAACCCGCGGCGACTTGCGCGTCGACTCAACGGTTCCCCATCCGCACAATGACGGCTCAACTCTTCCACGACCTCATAACCGTTCATGATCGAGCGTCCGACGAGTGGAATCGCCGCCGGTGCTTCTAATCCGAGGCGACTAGCGCGCCGGCTCAAACGTCTCCCATCCGCATCTGCGGCAACATGACGGCTCTGCTCTTCCGCGTCCTCCTCGTCCTCCTCGTCATCGCAGGTGACTCGACGGTTGACTACTCGATCTGCCACATTCTCAAAACCAGACCCTGGGCCAGGACGCTCCAATAGTGTAATAAGTGTCGATTTGGCTACCGTCTTAAGCCCATAGTCCACGTGTTCCGCGTTTTGGTTCGTGTCAAAAATCGAGGCAGGTTCGTGGTCCCGGTGCTTCCCTATCTCCAAACCATCCATCCGCAAAAGGATTAAACACCGCAACCTCACTACATGCGCCTGGCTCCTATGTTCAGGCCAGTACCACTACTGGAAGGCGAGTTAACGTAGTACGATCGCGCAACTCGACAAGCTGCTACCAGGGAATAATCTGACAGAAATGGCACAATGGCAGTCTGCTATCGCAGTCAAGAACCAGAACGAGCTGTTTTGCGCCAGGTCAAGAGACTTGTTAGTTTTACTTCCTGACGTTTCGAGCCTGAAAAAGTTGTCGGCTACCTACTTTTCCGAGGCTCGGTGTCTGACTTCAAGTCGCCCGACGGCGCCTGGGATGTTACGCGTAGAAGCACCCGAAACATTTATTCTGACGATACTAGCGTGGCACGTTTTGCTTGCAACTGGCACCGCTGAGTGCACGTTCCCGAACGGGTAGAGAGCAACGTCCGAAAGCGTCAAGTCACAGCTGAGAGGTATGCAGTCACCGACATGCTTTGCGCCATTTTGAAGCACCCATTCCGTACGTAGTGTAGTGTGCCACGAAAATGACGAGGGAAACGAACACATGATCGAGAGAGCCGAAGCGAAGGACGATTCAATGGTCGAAATCTGGCGAAACCCGCATTCCCAGCAAAGGAGCCGAGTTACCAACTTCGTAAGTGCCGATTGCGAAAGACACGGCCACCAAGCGGCACGACGCCAAAGTCTGTTCGACAGGTTGGGGAATTGCGATCTGTGATTGGACATTCAGCCCCACGGCTTGCGCCAAGAAATCACCCGCGGCTCGATGGATTTTCCCAGCCCTTGGCTTTCGTGCCTCCCCTAGCAAGAGGACGAGCCAATCGGTTCATAGCGAAGCGATAAACAGTTCGCGATGCGAAATGGCCTCACATCACAGACTTTCGGTGCAGGGAGCTAGTGAAAGCTTTTTTTTCCGGACCCCCTTTGAGAACCCAGGTGAGACGTGACGTCACGTCACATCACTGCTTGTTGGCGGATGTCTTCGTGACCGAGGTCTAGTACGGTACATGCGTGATAGAGTACCAATAAAAGTGTGCTGTAACAGATTATAAATAAAGATATTGTCTCTGTTCCTATTGGTATAATATCTTTGGCCAACCTAATTCATGAGAGTGAGCTAACCCAGCAATCCACAAGTGCCCCTCAGAATGATTTGCGGCTACAGCTCCTCATGCTCCACATGTTCTCTTTGTTGTTCATGTGCATGGACACTGTTGTAAAATACATGTGAGTGTGCTTGCATCTCGTCTAATTGCAGGTACCCATCACCATTGCTGTCCGCCTGCATCGAGACAAGAAAATAAAAAACGGGGGGGAGCACAGGAAGAACCTGAGTTGAAGGATTTGGAGAGAATGAGCAGCCATCTCAACAAACAATTCAACAGCCCTAGTTGACTACTCTAAAATCCTTCACTCCCCACCACAATCTCCTTTCCCATCTCTAGCATCACTGCAACCAGGCCACCAACAGCACCTCCAACTCACCTGTCGAATCATATCCGCCGCCTTCTTTCCAGCAAAGTCCTTCTCGCTTGGCCACAGCACCCGCAGCACCGGCTCAAACTCGCCAGGCGTGAGGAAGCTGCCAAGAAGGTAAGCACACACAGCACGGAAAATTCAGCACTCCTAGCACAGGCTTAAACTTCCCTGGGGAGAGGAAGCTGCCAAGAAGGACACATCAGAAGCGGAAACAAATGCCAACCAAATTTGGTGGCCCGGAACAGAAGACAGCATACGAGGAGAAAGGACCTAGCGTGTCACTCACTCAGCCGTCCCCATATCACATTGTCAGTATTTCACTCGATAAAAACAACACACCACCCACTCACACATCCCCATCCTTATCAAGCTCCCCAAACCTCCCTCTCGCCCGCATCTCCTTCTTTAGATGCCTAAAGAGGAATCAGAGGTGCCTAAGAAAGGAATTAGAGGCACCAAAAAGATGATCTCACTCACCCATCCCCGTCCTTATCAAGCTCCTCAAACCTCCCTCTCGCCCGCCTCTCCTTCTCCTCCAGAGCCTCCCGGAACTCGCCGCCCGTGCGGTGCGGCCGGCGGTGGTCGTTGCTCCATTTGTCCTTATCCTCCTGGGCGGCGTGCAAGTGGACAAGCGCCTCCACAGGGTCATGGCTGTCGTCCTCATGCGCCATGAGCTCGTGAAACACCGTCTGCTTGAACTCCTCGAACGATATGCGGCTGTCATTGTCAGCATCGCGATCCCTGGTGAGGTGGTGGGGTGGGGTGGGGTGGGGGGTCAGTTAGGCAGAAGGGAGTGGCTGTCGTCCTCATGGGCCATGAGGCAGAAGGGTGTTTTTGAGAATTCTCAAAAACACCCTTCAGCATCCCTGGTGAGGTGGTGGGGTGGGGTGGGGGGTCAGATAGGCAGTGAGACTCTGGATGGAGTGGCTGTCGTCCTCATGAGCCATGAGCTCGTGAAACACCGTCTGCTTGAACTCCTCAAACAATATGCGGCTGCCGTTGTCAGCATCCCGATCCCTGCAGTGCGGGAGTGTTGAGAGGGTTGGCATAAAGGTAAGGAGGCTGTTGTCCTCATGAGCCGTGAGCTCGTGAATCAGTCTCCTTGAACTCTACGAATGAGATGTGCGGGGTATGGCTGTCGTTGTCACTGTCCCGGTGCCTGCAGTGGTGGTGAGGAGGGGGGAGGGAGTTGAGTTGAGAGGGAGGTCTGTGAAGAGGATGATGGGAGGGATAGAGAAATGTCAGAAGGCGAATAGTCAGGATTGTGAAAGCGCATGCCAAAAACATCATCTTGTTTGCGCCTGCGAAACCTTCAGCTCGTCCCCTCGTGATGCATGCACTGTGCTGGGCGCACTGTGCTGGGGGCTCTCACCCTAACTCTGTCGTACATGCACCATGCTGGGGACTCTCACCTCCTAACCTAACTCTGTTTTGATCTGAACTGAACCTCTCACATGAATAAGCACATGTACTCCTACATACATCTCACCAGAAATTTCACCTGAACTCTCACCTGAACTCCTGCAGCAACGTCAGGTTACGCAGGCTTGGATCATCACTGTCCTCTGGATGCAAGTAGCTGGACAGGAGGGAGAAAGGAGGATTGGAGGAAGGGAGAGCCGCGGGGAGGGTAGAGGGACATGAGGGTATAGTGGGAGTTGAGAGGAAGGGGGAAACGGACGTTTCAGCAGGTTTCATCATGTAATCCGAAAAATTGCGACGTCTCTAAGGTTTCATTATGCAATTTGTCTAAACAATACGAATAGTGCAATGTAGTCCATCCATCCAACTCCTTCCCATCACCATCACAGCAACCGACTCACCTGTTGAGTTCACTGAGGCTCAACTGGCCATCCCCATCAGCATCCGCCACGCGAAATCGCTGCTCCAGCTCCATCCGCTGCTCCTCTCCCCCCACGTGCTGCCACCCCCCCTCGCCATGGTGCACTGGCGGGGGTGGGCGGGCAAGGGGTTCATGGAAACGGGAGGTGGGGATGAGAAGGAGAAGAACAGTGCGAGTGCACACTTGGGGAAAGGCTGAGTGATATGGCGGGAGGAGCGTGGGAAGGAACCATGGGAATCAAGAAGACAGACTGTATGGTGTATGCGATGGGAATCAAGAACGATGGGAATCAAGAAGACAAGGGCGAATGGACTTGATTGAAGACTGTCGTCTTCCAAGAAAGGACCAGGAAATGGCAGATCAACGGGCTACCTGCCTGGTCGGCAAGTTCGTCTTCTAGCGCCTCGGCCAGCGTGATCCTGCCGTCCGCATCGCCGTCCACCGCCTCCATCTCCCGCCGCGTGCGGTGCAGGCTCGCCGCCCGCTCCAGCTCCAGCAGCCACGTGGCGAGCTCTGATTGGCTGATGCGGCCGTCGGGCGGCGAGGTGTCGAGGAGTGGGAAGAGGAGGGCGAGGCGGTGGGAGAGGTTCAAGTGGTCGTGCCTTAGGTCGTCTGCAGGGGTGTGAGGAGGGGGTGGGGGTGTGGAAGGTGGAGAGGTGGTATTGGGGCCGATTTGACAGCATGAAGAGGAGGGCGAGGCGGTGGGAGAGGTTCAGGTGGTCGTGCCTCAATCAAGTGGTGTGCAGGGAGAGGGAGGGGGAAATGGAGGAGACGGTTTCAGCTATCATCACCTTCAGTGCACTTGTGCGGGAAAAAGAGTGTTGGAAAGAGAAGAGGTTCAGGAGGTCGCGTCTCAAGTCATCTGCAGGGATAAGGGATGGGGAAGGAGAAAAGTGGGATAGGGAAAGGGAGGGGAAGAGGAAGGGCGACAAAGGGAATGTCGAGGTTGTGTGGGAGGATATCAGAGAGTGCTCCCTCGCTATAGTCACCTTCAGTAAATTCGAGGTGTTGTCCTTCAAGCTCGCCCCACGTGGCGTCATCCTCTTCATCCCTGTACCGCGCGTGCTCCTCTTTAAACTCCGCCAGCTCGCTGCCCTCCAGCGCCTTTGTGATTGGCTAAGAAACACTGCCATATTCTAGAGGAAAAAAGGCGGGAAAATGGATTCTCGAAGATGTATGAGTGCAACTATTACCTTCTGTGAACTCGTGGTGTTGACCTTCAAGCTCGCCCCACATGGCGTCGTCCTCTTCGTCCCTGTACCGCGCGCGCTCCTCCTCAAACTCCGCCAGCTCGCTCCCCTCAAGCGTGCCGTCGTCCGCCTCCTCGTCCCCCACGCCCACGCCTTCCCCGTGCAGGTGGTGCTTCCGCGGATCGTCCGAGTGCACGCGGAACGGCTTCCGCGCGCCGTGCAGGCGCGCGTACCGCCGCTCCCACGCGCGGTCGTCGCGCTGCTGCTCCACCTCCGCCAAGAGCGGATCGAACGCCACGTGGACGACGCGAGGGTTTGCCTCGCCCGTCGCGTCGCCTACCGCGTCGAGAACGCTGTCGCCGGCTGTCGCACTGGCGACGCCTGATCCAGCATCCTCGATATCGGACGATTCGCTAAACGAGATTCGCCGTCTGGTAAACTCGAGGAGTTTGCGACCGTCTGGAGCACGGGGAGCGCGGGTGAGAATGAGAGTTACGACGAGAATCAGGAGAAAGAGAGGGTAGAGAATGTGCGGACGAAGCAAGGCGCGAAGCGGCGAGTCCATCGAGAAAAATCTGTGCGAGGAGCAACGCCGATTCTTGTCAACGCAGGAACGCTACGAGAAAACGCGCCATTTGCTCAGCCTGGTATGCGCTACAGAATCTGGATACAATGCGGGGAACTGACTGTAGTGATGGGAAACAGAAATGGCGGAACTGAAGAAAAGCTTCTCCAGTTTCCAAGGCAAGCCTGACCACCTTGAGAAACCGAGTCCGCTGGGGCGTGGGACGAGGCGTGAACTGCCAAGGCTGGGGTTGTAGGTTTGCGAAAAAAGTAATCAAATTCGTACGTAGTGTTGGCAATTTCGCTAACCTCGTTTTCCACATTTCACATGGGTACGGCTTCGGAGTGGCGAGGCGTGTCACCACATCATTATCGCAAAGACGTTCTGGAAAGTAGCAAACAAAGGCTTTCGTTTCAAAATAATTTATGAACGTTTACACTCTTGCATACATTATTACCTGTCCCCAATTTCCTCCCCACCCTCCACCATCTTTCCTCCACAATTTACATCACAGCCATCATGTGCATAGAACTTTTCCCGAGGTCTAGATGACAGCAGCAGGCTGGCACTGGGTGGCAGGGTCGGTCATGGAGTAGCTGTTGCCATTGCTGAAGCGCAGCTCCTGCACGCAGGGGCGGAAGGCACTCGTCCAAGCATACAGAATGTTGAGCGTCTCCCCCGGGAACATCTGCACAGTGCCGTCAGCACCGCGGTTCATGTGCACCTCACAGTTCCCCGGCGACGACTGCACAAAGATGTCGCCTGTCTGGTACTGCGTGGGGTTGGGCGCAGGGTTGTCGAGAATGCCCTCCCACACGTTGCCGAAGTTGAGGCACTGGTACACGCGCAGCGGGCTGGTGACGTTGTAGGCGCAGCCGTTGTAATAGGTCATGTTGTAGATGTTGTTGTGCAGGTCGTACGGCCCCAGGTACTGCGACCGAATCGTCACCGTCGTGCGCCCACACGCTGGGAGGGGGAAGGAGATGTGGGGGGGTGAAGAGGGGGGTGGGGGTTGGAGGCAGGGAAAAACAAAATGAGAATCCAGAAAGGGGACGCAACCAGAGCAGAGGAATGAGAGGCAAGGGGGCCAGGGGAATGAGAAGCGATGGGGAGCAAAGAAATGAGGGGCAAGGGGAGCGAGGAGGGCTGTGAGAAGCAAGGGACAGCAGAGCTAAGGAACCAAGGCAGGTAAGAGAGGGAGAGGAGGGGACAGCAGCACGTACGTGGGGGTGAAGGACGGGATAACGAGGGGGAACAACGAGAGACTTATGACTTGGAGCAGCGAGATGAATGCAAAGAGAGCAATGAAATGGTTGCTGAGGGGAGCAGAGAAGTGAGTGCTGAGGGGAGCAGAGAAGTGAGTGGTGAGGGGAGCAGAGAAGTGAGTGGTGAGGGGAGCAGGGAAGTGAGTGCTGAGGGGAGCAGAGAAATGAGAGAAGCAGAGAAACTAGAGACAACGGAAGCAGGTAGAGAGGGAGTGGAGGGGGCAGAGCAGCAGTGCGTACTGGTGGCGAGGGCCTGGCGGCGGGGGATGTGGTCGAGGTAGCCGGGCAGAGGGGCGTCGTGAGCGAAGGTCTCAGCCGCGAGAATGCGCCTGCCCCCCTCTGAGACCAGCGCCCTGGCTACCTTCATGGCGTCCCGCGCTCCACTCACCGCCGCCGCCAGCAGCCCCACCGCCAGCGCTGCCAGCACCAGCACGCGCATGCCAGCCGTCGCCATGAGAGCTTGCACAGTAGCTGCTTCTGAGATGCCTTTGAAAAGGCCTCCACAGGAACTGGAGAAAGCTGGAAGGCTGCTGCAAGCGGCTGTTTGAGGAGGCGGAGTGGAGCTGATGAATCCATAGCTGCACAAGGCGTTGGCTTTATAGGCGGAGGAAGAGGCGTGCACACCTGCACTGGTTTGGAGAGGAGGTGGCTCTCCTTAGGCTAAGGAGATATCCGCGACTCGGCATCGGATGGGTGGCGTGGAGGAGGAGCTACTAGCTCGAGGCGACGCGAGGAACGAGGAGGCGAAGGGTCTGCGGGAAGCGAGGCTGCGGGCGATGCGATGGAAGGTGCATCGCAACCGTCGCTCGCACGTCGCGGCCGTTCCGAATGCCGCTGTCGTCGCTGTGGCGAAGAGTTTGACTCGGAGTGATCGCCACGAATACTCTCTTCGTCTTCATGACTAGTGCTAGTCTCGGTGTAGAGCGGTTCATGCGGCTGGCGGGACACGCCAAGAGTCGCGGTAGAGAATTAAGTCGGAGGGTACGACAGAAACAATCAGATATCTCACGAGCGGCTCGATCTGCCGACATGATGTAATCCATGCGACAATCGCGTTTGCTGGTGGTTAACCGAAACGACAGCGCTAACTACCACCCAGATCAGCGTTCCTTCCTTTGAATGAACCCCCTGGTCTCTGACTCCTCAAGTCTTTCCGAAAAGTCCTCGTTTCGCTACCAGACTTTCGCGCAGAAACACAACTGCAGAGACAGTTGGAAAGCAGTCCGCGTGTCCAACGACATGCATGATCCGCGTCGCGTCCAACATCAACGTTTGCCACCAGGGAGTTTGTCTACCCGAATAACGACAGGCGAGCACGACGGATCGCAGCAGACAAGCGCTTGTGTCGCAAGCAGGAACAACAGAAATCGACTAGAAGGCGGCAAAAAGAAAGGAATCGACGAGGGATAGATCGTTCCTCGCAGCAGTGTTTGTCCCTTGAATCCATCTTGGCCTTGGGATTTGGGATTTGAAATGACCGTTGGATTCCTCGCCGAGACGGTTATCGCTGCACGCACAACCGCGCGTGTGCGAAAAGTACGAACGAAAATATGCGTCGGTGACGAAAGTGCGAGGCTCGAATAACCTGTGCGAACGCTGTAGATTTTCCAGTTTCGCATGCCTTCGCCAAGGAGGCGAAGTTTCGCGCTTACAAGATGTTCCACATTCCTAATACTTACCACACATACTGGAATAATGTGAGCATAATCATGTCAAATTATACAAGAAATAATGAATCAAATTCCACACCATGCCTTCTCCCACAGCACCTAAATATCTCCCATCAGTTCCCGAATTATTCTTGCCTTTCGCAGCTTCTGTTACGAATAGTAATGTTTGAACATTACTGTGCATTCCTCACCGCAGCTAAGGAAACACGAAGTTGTTAAGATAGTAGCTAGAGGTGAGGAGCCATGCTAGGGTGAAGAGGAGAAAGTGTCGAGAGAGTTTAGGCAAGGAAAGAGGTGTTTCACTATAGCACACAAGGTACATATAGCAAAGCAACAAAGAAGGTGCACCACCAACTCTTAATAATAATAACTACAGTACCTACAGCACGCAGGGTATATATTAAACATATTGTTTGACACACCCCCTTAGCCTGCGTGCGGTAGAAACTGGTGCAGCCAGCACCCCCTGAACGAGCAAACCAAGCGCTGTGGAAGAAGGCAGAGAAGTGAGGAAGGTGAGAGGAGAGGAGAGAAGAGGAGAGGAGAGGAGAGGAGAGGAGGTGGGGGGCCAGGACCGGCGGACCCGCTTACGAACCTCCTTTTACAAAGGGGAGGTGAGAGAGGGAAGGGAGAGGAGGTGGGCTAGGCGGGCTTGAGCGCGAAAGCTCATAGCGATCCCCCCCCGTTAAGAACCCCCAAGTCCCGATGAGGAGAGGAGGTGGGCTAGGCGGGCATGAGCGCGCACGCTCAATGCGATCCCCCCCCGTTAAGAACCCCCTAGTCCTCACCCCCTCGTCACTCAACCCCGTCAACCTCACACCTTCCGCACCTGTCTTCTCCCGCCACCCCCTCACCCTTCTGCACTTCTCTCCCCCCCCCCCCCCCCCTACAGCAACAGTTGCTGCAGGGAGAGAGGAAGAGGGAAGGGAGGGAGGAGTGGCAGGCTCCTCACACCCGCCCCCCCCCCCCCCCCCCCCCCCTACAGCAACAAGTGCTGCAGGGAGAGAGGAAGAGGGAAGGGAGGGAGGAGGTGCTGGCTCCTCACAACCTCACACCCGCCACCCCCACATCTCCCCCCCCCCCCCCCCCCCCACGACGGAAGCAGTGGAAGGGAGGGCGGGCGGGAGGGGGCAGGGCGGCGGTAGCTGCTGCTGGCGCTGGCGGTAGCTGCTGCTGGCGCTGGCGGTAGCTGCTGCTGGCGCTGGCGGTAGCTGCTGCTGGCGCTGGCGCGGGCGGCTGGCGCTGGCGGTAGCTGCTGCTGGCGCTGGCGGTGGCGGCTGGCCGCGGTGGTGGCGTCCGCGCTGACGGGCCACGCTGGCGGCGGCGCCTGCGGTCCGGGCTGGCGCGGGCGCTGGCGACGGAACGGGGGGCCGCGAGGCGACGAAACGGGGTTCGCGGACGACGGGAAGGGGTGCGCCCCGACGACGGAACGCAGGGCGCCGCGGCGACGGAACTGGGGGGCAGCGGGCGACGGGCAGGGCGTCCGCGGGGCAGCCGACGGGGCGTCCGCGAGGCAGCCGACGTGGCACGTTCGGGGGGACGGGCAGGGCGCGCGTGACGGGCGAACGGGGAGAAAAAAAAAAAAAAAATAGCGCATTTCGCGCTGTAGTACGGGCGGGCCCATGATTCTTAAAAAAAAGAGAAGGTTCCGGGAAGGAACCAGCTCTGTACCATGTTAAGATAGTAGCTAGAGGTGAGGAGCCATGCTAGGGTGAAGAGGAGAAAGTGTCGAGAGAGTTTAGGCAAGGAAAGAGGTGTTTCACTATAGCACACAAGGTACATATAGCAAAGCAACAAAGAAGGTGCACCACCAACTCTTAATAATAATAACTACAGTACCTACAGCACGCAGGGTATATATTAAACATATTGTTTGACAGAAGTATCGAGAATGAATTCGAAGAGTCAGAATCGACTCGAATCGTCAGACAGTTGGGGAGGACCTGGACCGTCAGAGAAAACGGCATCGGCAGCTGCAAGCAGGAGGAAAATGGAGGGAACAGTTACGAAACTGTACGCGCCGCACGGTTGGGAATGAACTTGAATAAGGGAATGTACCCCTTAG